ACTTAGTGGACTTGTGTATTTTAATAATCCCCAGGTATTTATGTGATTTGTGTTCTTCTATGTGGAACAGACCTTGGTTAGTACATATTTAATCCTTTGGAGGATTAAAGAACCAACAGTCCTGAGGGCTGTTGTATTTAACTTAAGGCACTGGCTAAGGGTGAAGAGAAAGGACCATAGGTCAACACAGATTTTACAGGTTGTTGTCAATTGCATGAGGCTGGATAGTTGGACTCAATTTTAACTTGAAAACCCATTCTTGAATGGAGATTAAAATTCCAAATTCTTGAAGTATGGTAAATTCTTTAAGTATGGTAGTCTAGTTTTAGAACAGTATTTACTTGGTAAGGATTTGTTGACTAAGCTTTGTCACTAGCATGTACTATTAAAGGGGCTGCAGAAGCAGCTCAGTGGTTATAGTCCTTGCCTTGCAAGTGTGAGGAGCTGAATTTGGATCCCACAGTGATATGAAAAGCTAGGTGTGGAACTAGATGTCTGTTACTCCCGTGCTTGGGGGTGGAAGGTGAATTTGGGGGACTTGATGGTCAGCTCTTCTAGCCAACATGGTAAGTTCCAGGTTTAGTGAGAGGTAGAAAGCTTTCGGAAACAGACACCTGATGTTGACTGATAGCCTCATGCACACACATGCACAGGTGTGTACTCATACAACACAGAAAGGTTTTAAAATATGCTAAGATATTAAAGTGGGTCTGACTCTCCTTTGCACAGAGCTGAATGACTTCATCATTCAACTTGACGAAGAAGTAGAGGGTATGCAGAGCACCATTCTAGTTCTTCAGCAACAACTGAAGGAGACACGACAGCAGTTGGCACAGTACCAGCAGCAGCAGTCTCAAGCTTCAGCCCCAAGTACCAGCAGGACTACATCTTCTGAACCTGTAGACCAGGCAGAGGCCACAAGCAAAGACTGCACTCGCCTAGCAAACGGACCAAGTAATGGCAGCTCCTCCCGCCAGAGGACGTCTGGCTCTGGATTTCACAGGGAGGGGAGCACACCTGAGGATGATTTTCCTTCTTCAGGGAATGGTAATAAGGCCTCCAACAGCTCAGAGGAGAGAACTGGCAGAGGAGGTAATAGTTATATAAACCCACTCAGTGCGGGGTATGAAAGTGTAGACTCTCCCACGGGCAGTGAAAACTCTCTCACACATCACTCAAATGACACAGACTCCAGTCATGACCCTCAAGAGGAGAAAGCAGTGAGTGGGAAAGGTAATCGAACTGTGGGTTCCCGCCATGTTCAGAATGGCTTGGACTCAAGTGTAAATGTACAGGGTTCAGTTTTGTAATATTTCTCCAGCAAATTTTTATACAGTGTCATGTACTTTGGGAGAGGATACTGTCAAAAGTTGATGCATATGCTTTTGTCACAGTTTGCCTTTCGTGGGTGTGTTTTTTCTTTGTTTGGTTCCTCTTTTCTTTTTATTGCTTCAATACCTCTGCCACTTTGAAAATCGTAACAGTTAATTACTTTGAATGTTGCTAAAAAGGACATTTTCTGTAGGGTCAAGTTATTTTTATATGAGTTAATGTGAACAGTTGTAAATGGGAATCTATAACAATGATGTCTGTATAAATCTGTGTCTATTTAGAACCGTGCTGTGTAAGGGCATTCTTCCTCATGCTGTTAAATACTTATGCACCATTCAGACTTGTTAGAGTAGATGTGGGTTTATGACTGCCAAGTTTGCCCAGTACAGTAGCTTTTATCACTAAAAAGTTGGACTTGGCGTCCTATAGTAGTTTCAGTGTTAGATAGTTTTTTTCCACCATACATCTGTGCATTCATCTTTAGAGGACTGAATGTTTAAGAAATCCGTGTGCATAGTTACTAAGTTTTTATGAACTGTTGTGTCCTGTTAGTACATACTGCCCTGTGACTCCAGTATATCTCACCTGTACTGACCAAACCTAAATAAAAACTTTTATTACGACTCCTCTGCTTGTTTTTTTCCTTTTGTTTTCAGTGTTTGTTTGCAGTTGCCATTTGTTTTCCCTAAATTGCTGAATTCTTAGTTACCCTGTAATATATACAAGGGTCAAATTAAAACAGTCCATGCATTGTGTCTGTGTACCTCATTTTAATTTGCACTTTTCTTTTGCAGAATGAAATGGGAGTTTGTGACTACAGTTCAAGGTTTGCTTTTTCCCTTGACATAAAAGTCTCATTTTTAAAAAGCTAAATAATTTTTACATTTTAATTGAAAAGCAGTTCTTGAGGTCTGAATCTTTACTATATTTTTATATAGTAAAGTATATCTTTACTCAAGGATGTTTTATTTTAAAGCACTGGTCAAGTAATGATTTTTCCTAAACAACATCCTTGCATGTAGGAAGTCTGTGGGTATAAGGATGTGAAAAGTGCTATGAAACGTAGCTTGTTTCACTCATTGTTAGTATAACTAGTAATGCTAAGTGTTGAGGTCGTAAAGGTGTAATTGCCTCTAGTCTACAACTTTTCATAGGTTGTTTCGATATAATATTTCTTCCAAGAACAATAGGATTCTTAGGTAACTTACATATCTGTGGTCTTCAGAGGCATATTTAAAATACTGCAATTAAGCTTTTGTGCAGTCTTAAGTGAATAAAACCTATATGATTTAAAATAAATTTGCATATAATTAACCAGTTGGATGCATGTTAAAATATTCCCTTGGTGTATGAAATACTATGGATTTGGCTTTATTGCTTTTTATATATACGTTTCCTTTTATGCAATTTACACAAAAATCAACTTTATCGGTATGTAATCATTGGTATGCAAAAGCAACTTAATCGTTAACAGTAGTGTAACTAAATTTAATATAGACTTGCTAATGTCATAGATGTCACATTTTTGTTGAATCTGCTTGGGGAATAACTTAGGATGTACAGTTGTATGTGAAGTCAGCAGTCCTTATTTCTGGAATTGGATGCTTCATTTACTGGAAAGAGGTGATGGATCCTGTCTACGTTAAGTGGTTTGTGAAAGTAGAAAGATGAGTCCTAACATTAATGGCAGTCCTGTCACATGTCTAGAGGATGCCTTATAAAAAAAGGACATTAGCTGAGTTGGTGGAAGCAAAGTGTTTTAAGCTCAGACTGGGTGTCCGCAACAGTCTTTCACAGCTCTGGTGGGGGCCGGGGGTGGCAGGTGATTTTGATGTGCTGGCTGAGTTGGTCCCTGGGGAGAACCTTGGATATATCCCCACAAGGTAGAGAGGTCATCTCATCTCCATAGCTTGTTGAAGGCTGGGTCACCGTGATCCAAAGGTCTCAGCTAATACATCGTAGTGGGGAATGGTTTCAAAGTAAGGTAGGGTTTATCTGTTCAGTGTGCAGCGAGCACAGGGACTGCTCAGTAAATGTCAGCCACTGTTCAGTCTTGAAGTCTCAGGCCTGGTGACAGACCACCTCCCTTTGTCAAGCTGCTACTCAAATACATACAGATACAAGTTTTTACTTGAGAACTTAACAAATTTGAAGAGTAGTTCCTTTTGGTGATACAGAGCCTTGAAGTTGCATTAAAGGAAATGCTGTCTCCTAGCCAAAAGATAATGTCTACCAGGGAGACATGCCATTGTTCTCTTCTTAAGAGTTAATAGGGTTGGGCAGGTGAATCACCTGGCTAAGGGACCACTGCTCAGGAATGCAGATCCACCTTAGGGCATGCTAAGGAATAATTACACCTTTAATGAGATAGTGCGGTTTTTCTTTTTAGAATTTCTGCCCGTAGCAGCTTACAGAGCCATAGCCAGGCAGCTTCCTCAGCTGGCCTGCTTATCTGAATTACAATAATTTTTCCTTTCCCAGGTCTAAGTATGCTTTCCCAACAGTGCATTTCCATGCCCTCTAAAGCTTCCCACCTTCAAGAAAAAGATTTGTGCCAGGTGGTGCTGGTGCGTGCCTTTAATCCTAGTACTCAGGAGGTAGTTATCCAAATTCAAGACCAGCCCTGGTTTTGAGAAAATTGTTTTATGTGTATAGTGTTTGTATGTAGGTATGTGCATCTTGTGTGCCTAATATATGCTGAGATGGAGCAGTTATCAGATCCCCTGGAACCGTAGTTTACAGGCAGTTGTGAGCTTCCTGCCATATGAGTGCTGGGAACCCAGGTGCCCTGCAAGAGCAAGTGCTCTTAAAAGCTTTGCCATCTCTTCAGTCCCCACTCCCTTTTTTGCCATGTAGCTGATTGCCCCCCCACATGGCTGACCCCCATGCTTAATTCAAATGATACTGCTTTCTCTTTTCCTCTCCCCACCAACTGCTAGATTTACATCACCCTTATTTTGTCATTGTCCTTTTTATAAAATGTAGCAGTAACATTGAAGCTGCTCTTTAGAGAACTATCATTTAAGCTCTCTTGATAACATCCGTTCCAAAGCTGGCAGGTCACCCAACCATGATTCTGAGCCCAGCCCTTAATGTTTTCCCATCTCCCTTCACCCTCTGAATAACAGGAAGTAAAGAAAACAAACCAACCAACCCTGAGTTGGGGAGGACAGTCTGAGCTTGCTGTGCTGAATATTTGGAGATGATCAACGTGTGATGGCTATGCAGTAACTGAATGCAAACTATAAAAGCTTTAAGTATATAGCTAAAGATGGCAGGCAAGAAGCTTGGTTAAATACAGTCCTGAAAAGCAATTTGAGGATAGGGGTGTCACTCAGTGGTAGAGTGCTTGCTTAGCATGGTCACAGCCCAGTAAATCCTTAGCTTGGCGAAAAAAAAAAAGTATGGACAGAAGAAATTGAAAGCAGCCAGTATAAGTCTAGCATTGGAATATGGACCAGCTGTCATATTTTCAGTTTGGTGAAAATGTACAGTTGGTTGTGATAGTTCTCATCTGATCCAAACACTTTGATGAGGTGAAGCTGGATTGAGAATTCAAGGCCAACCTGAAGCTATTTTCTCAAAGTGAATGCTACTATAGGGAAGGCAAGTGTGAGCACATGTACAAAGTGCTTATTACAGAGACTTCAACAAATGAGCTTGTCCTCTCAACTTTTAATTCAGCTTTTTGTAGAAATAGTATCCACAAAACAGCATTTTTCTGACAGTTGGATTCCTGTAACTGTTCATGAAATCCTAGAATGAGACTAAGACCCCTTTAGTAGCACTGCTAAATTCTTTTCTGGTTTGGGTTGGGTTTTTTTTTTTTTTCCAGCCTAATAGCATATGAATCTAGATCTGACACCTTCACATGTACATACATTCAGGCAAAACACCAATGCACATAAAATAAAAATAAATTATAAAAAAAAACTATTCTAAGGGCTGGAGAAATGGCTCACTCAGCAGTAAAGAGCACTTAGTGCTCTTGCAAAGAACTCAGGTTCAGTTTCTATCATCCATTCATACGGTGGCTTACAACCATCAGTACCTCTAGTACTAGGGAATCCAAGCCCTCTCTGGCCTCCACAGGCTCCTGAACACATGCAGTGCACAAAAATAAATAATAAGTAAATAAGGCTGGGCATGGTGATGCACTCTTAATCCCAACACTCAGGAAGCAGAGGCAGGGAGATCTCTGTGATTTGGAAGCCAGCCTGGTCTACATAGGTCCAGGTTTACACAGACCTGTCTCAAAAACAAAATTTTAAAACAGCAGATGGGGATGGGGAGATGCATGTCATGAGTTCCAGGCCAACCTGGTCTACAAAGCAAGTTCTAGGACAGCCAAGGCTACACAAAGAAACCCTGTCTTGAAAAACAAATTTAAAACGGTAACAACAAAACAAGCTCTCTGCTTCCTGTATGGATTAAAATATGATCAGCAGCTTCCTTCTACTGACATGTTCCTCTGCCTGCTGCCATGCCTTTCTGCCATGATGGACTCTCTCCCTTTGGAACTGTGAATCAAAATAATAAATTATTTCTTCCTGGAAAAAAGAAAAGTAGAAACTGTTCTCTCTCTCTTCCTTTTTTTCCATTCATTATCTTTGGCTTGCATCTAGCCCATACATTGCTCTCAGTAGTCCACTGTAAGGAGCTATAATGACTCCTTGGTACTGCTGTTGGTCATTCAACAAAAGCAGTTGGCTTCTTGAGATTTTCTCCTCTGCTTTCCAGGTAGAGCTTCCAGGCAGGAAACAAGTGAATACACACCTTGTCCCTAGAAGACTATATTTCTGCTCATTTTTTCATGTGTGTTTATGGGTGGAGGCCTAAGATTGGTGTCAGAGATCTTCCTCATCTGGTCTTCTCTCTTCTTTTGAGGCATGGTCAATCATTAAAACAACAGCTAACTGACCAGCTTAATCCAGGGATCCCATCTCTGACTTGAGACTAGAATTTTAGGTGGACTTCCACTTCTACCCAACATTCACTTGATTTCTTAGAATCCAAATCTAGTCCTCTTGATTGCACAAATGCTTTAATCACTGAGCAAACTCCACAGACTCATACTCTAAGAAAAAACAAAACAACAAAGAAAATAAGGTTTATGTAGCCCAGTCTACCCTTGAGCTCCTGATCCTCCTCTGTCAGTGTTCCAAATGCTCAGATTATAGGCCTGTGCCAGTTGGCTCACATCCATTTATTCTGGTGCACAGAACATAAGGAATATATTAGTGTTCATCAGATTTACTGCCTAAAGTGTGCTAGACATGTAATAAAACAGTATAAGAAGGGATCAATAATACTTTGTATAGAGTAATAGAGGAAACTAGAAACTAAGAATTATATGGTCAAATTCAAAGATAAGATTAGATATAAGAGCTAAGGGGCACCAAAGGTAGGAAGAAAAGACAGGAAGGAAGGCTTCCTGGAGGAAGTAAAGTCTGTAAGTAGAGTTCAAGAGATTTCTAGCATAGCCAACAGAAGGATACATCACTCACAGGGGCTTTAGAAGAAATAAACTGAAGAGGTAAGTATAATGAGTTTGGACTAGATTTGATAAAATTAGTATTTTTCATAGACAGTGTAAGTAGAGAGGGCCAGCCTGCTCGGAGGCAATGAAGTTAAACCGAAGGATTTCAGAGTCAGCAGCACAATGGGTGGTGACTGAAGTGCTGGGGTTGGACGTGGTGCTTTCCGGGGAACTGCTGCAGAGTTGGGCGAGGGGCAGTCGGAGTAAGGCCACAACGGGGATTTAAGTAGTGGGGCCAGATTACTGGGGAAATAGAGGGCTGGAGAGGTGGCAGTGGCTAAGAGCACTTTACTGCCCCTGCAGAGCCCTGGGTTCGGTTCCCAGCACCTATATGGTAGCTCACAACTGTCTGCAACTCTACAAGGGGATCCAGCACCCTCTTCTGGCCTCTGAAGACACTAGGCTCGAATGCAAGGGCACATACATGCAGACTAAAACATATAAAAATCAATTGTTAAAGACAGAATGTAATAAATATGGGAGTTTGGAGAGGTGGCTTAGTGCTTAAGAACACTTACGGCTCTTTCAGAGAACTGGAGTTCAATTCCTAGGACCTACAAGGCAGCTGGAAAGCTGTTCTAACTCCAGTCCCAGGAGATCCAACAACCCCTTCTGGCCTACTCAGGCACTGTATGGACAAACAGTACACAGACATACATGCAGGCAAAACATCCATACACATAGAATAAAAATAAAATGTAATAAGCATGAAACCACGGAGATGTCCCTTGCAGTTCCTGAACTCGTGGGAATAGGGAACACAAGCTAGACTACCAGAAAGATGAGACTTAAAGTGACACTTGCAGTAGGGAGACCACTGATTCCAGACACTAAGGATTTCTCTAAGGGGAAACTCTTACCTAATTTTACTTCTCTTTAGTCTGGAGCCAGCGCTTATCCATTTTATTTGACTCATCCACGTCTCTCAACATCTTAATGAATTTTCAGTTTGCTTTACATTTCAGGAAGAGGCCCCAGCTTGACAGGTTTTGTTTTTGTTTTCTCACAACCTGCGGAACTTTTACTCCGCTGTGCACCGTGCCCGCTCACAGCAAGGCTTGCCTAGGAAACCTTTCCTTCCAGCACAGCAGTCTTCTTTCCTAAATGGGTGGCATTCTCTGTGGGCCAGCAAGGGGCAGAAGCAAACCAGGGTGAGTCTGGTGTTTCAAAACAATGGGGGCACTGCAGCTGGCCTGGGGCGGTGGTGGGCTGGGGGTGGGAGGTGGCCAGAGGGAGTCTGCAGGAGGCATGGAGGATACAAAGCAGATAGGTAAGTAGAAAGTCTGACAGCTTCTGATTTGGGCTGAATGAGAAGTCTGGAAGGGTTTGAAACAGCAGTGATCAATCCACAGAGGCCACGTGCCCAGAAGCTGTCAGCGTTGAGGAGGACACTGCAACAGAGGCGGGAGGTGCCTACCCAAGAAAGGCTAGGCTAAGCTCCCCGGGGAAGGTCGCCTCGAGAGGACCAGCCCCTCTGGTCTTCGTAGGCCGTTTACATCCGCCCCACCTAGGACTCCTAGACTGCATACCACCCCGCTCTCCGACAACCCTAGGCTGTCTTCGTCCATCCCCAGGGACTGCATACATACCACCCTACCCCGACACACCCACGCTGCGTTGGTCGCACCCCACCCGGTACCACCAGAGTACTCCATTCACGTCCCGTCCTACACCCGGACTTAGCCTCGCCCAGCGTTTCGCGCAGGCGCGAGGAGGCGTGGCATGGAGGCCCTGGTCCCGCCCCCGGCCTATAAAGCTCAAGGAAGTTTCACCTCAGTTGCAGACTGTGCCGGGCTGGCAGCTGGCAGAGAGCGCAGCGGCAGGATGAGTGCAGGTTCGGACCCCGTGGTCATCGTCTCGGCGGCGCGGACTGCCATAGGTGAGTGTCCCGCTCCCCAACAGGTGCTCAAAGAACCGGGTTCGCGGAACGGGGAGGGGGCGATCGGCCGAGACTCCCCAGCCCGGTGCCGGGCGCCTCGCTCGCGGCCCTGCCCCTCGTGCTGCGATTGGTTCCTCGCAGTAGAGCCACCGCTCTGCCGGCTCACCGATTGGCTGACTTTCGGGTGCGTTCTCTCTCCCGGTCGCTGATTGGCCCGCTCAGCGAAGCGCCATCGGTCGTGCTGTGGTGGCGGGGTGGGAGGGCCGGGAGCTAGCAGGGGCTCCGGGCAGGCTTTTGGCTTGGCATTGTCCTGGAAGTCCCCATCGCCTTTGCCCGCCTCGGCGCCGGCCGTTTCTGTTTAAAAAGCATGCTCCTCCATCCTCTGCCTCGGTGGTTCTAAACCAGGCTCTTGGTTCAGATGCCTTCCCTCTTCACTGTCCCGTTATAGGCTCCTTCAATGGTGCCCTGTCCACTGTGCCTGTCCACGACCTGGGGACAACTGTCATCAAAGAAGTCCTGCAGAGAGCCAAGGTGGCTCCAGAAGAGGTGTCCGAGGTCATATTTGGACACGTTTTGGCGGCAGGTAACTCCTCAGTAACCCAGGAGAGGTCAGGTTCATTAGACCAGTCCTTTGCACGCGAGCACACCACCACCACCATACATTTCTTTGCGTAGGGTGCCCTCTGCTAGAATTCGTCCTGCTCCTCCTTCCTCTAGCTGAAGTCACAGCTTCTTTACAAGCCTTTTCCCCGGAGTGCTCCTAGACCACTTATCTGTACTGTCTTCGCGCTGTTAGAGCAGGGCCGGCCTGACGCATAGGAGAGTATGCACAGTCCTCCACAGACCCCTAAAAGATCACACAGTCCGTCTCTACCTTTGGAGGGGGCTGCACTCTACCAGGGCTGCGGGGGTGGCTGCGGCAGAACAGATATACCCTAGTCCACTTGTCATGAGATGGGTTGTTCTTCACTCGTGGGGACTTGGTCCCTGCCTGGAGGAAGACAGAAGAGTCTGAGAATGCCTCCATCTTACCTCTACTTCCTGATTGTTGACCGGTGACCACTGACCGCTCCGCGCTGATACTTGGTATCAGCTTGTATCACTATCACTTGTAGCTCAGTGATGGAAGTGTGTAGTTAGTGTGTGCATGTGGTGGTGAGTTCACTCTCCTGCCCTCCCCTACGCTCACTGCACATACATTTGGATCAACTGAGGAGAAAATTGTTAATATTCAAAACCAACTTCTGTTCTTCACTGTGATTCCATCTGTATGTGGGCAGCTTGAATATTCCATATTTGAAACACTTGGGGCCAGAGTTGTTTTGATTTCAGATCTCCTCCCCCCAAAGCTTCTAACATTTGTATATCTAAAGTGAAGTATCATTGTTACCCAACTTGGTGTCTCAATCTTTATCTCAAGAAGCCAGGCTCAGCCAGTTGTCCTTGATGAGCTGGGTGAAATAGCAACAAATGTTAGTAAATGGCAGAAAAGGGAGATTTATTTAATTTGGTTAAACTGGTAGGAGATCTAGTGACTCCCTCATGTCTCTCTTCACAGTCCAGAACTGAGATTAAACTGTAAACAGAGGGTTGGAGACCTGCACTTCTAAACTGTCTAGTCATTTTATGGCCTCATCGACCACTGACCCACTGTCTGTGTCTCTCCATCAAGGTGGTCTGAGAAGTTGTCAGAGTGTGTAAAATCTTTTTTCCTTGGTGAAAATATCCCCCTCTACTGGGTACCAGGCTTCAGCTTCTTCCTTCTCCCAGAAATATTCCTAGGGGACTTCCAGTTTGGGGGGCTGGGGGTCATTGTTTGAATAGTCTGACAGATTAAGCAACCCAAGTATCTCTAAAGAATAGCCTTATCTCTTAGAGGCTAAAGAGATCTCTGAGTTGTTAAGAGCAGTTACTGCTCTTGTAGAGGACCCAGGTTCTGTTCCTAGCACTCTGTTGGATACTTATGCCCCCCCTCACTCTTCCAGGGAATCCAGCACCCTTTTTGTCCCTCATAAGTGAGTACTAGGCACCCTCATACATACATACATTCATTCAGGCAAAACATTCATACACAAAATAAATAAATCTTTAGTGTGTATGTGTGTGTGTGTGTCTTCATCTGTTCAAGGATGGTTATGTCCTGGCTGGAACCCAATTCTGAGTAGAAAATTCTGGTGCATATATTTATGTATAGTATATATATTAACCCTATATACATAGAGTGGATGCTATAAAGAAAAAAGGCTTATGATTTTGTGCATGAAGTACATTTAGTATGTCCCATTTATAGAGACACACTTCTGGTCTTAAATTCTGACCAAGTTATTATGAGTCAAACTGTGTGTTGACTTTGAGCAGACATGTGAGGGCTCATGCAGTGGCATTGCAGCATCCAAAAGTTTTCTATTGCCTGGCTTGGTGGTCTGTGAATATAACCTCAGCACTCTGAGGCCTTACTGTGAGATTAAGGCCAGCCGGAGCTCTTAGCAAGATTTCTTCATAGAAGGGAAGACTGGAAAGACTGGAGATGTTGTAGACCACTTGTCTGATGTACAAAGCTACTGAAAAAAGAAAAAAATTGAGATGTTTCACACTGAGATTCTTAAAGTACCGATATTTGACATGTATTTAAGTTTTGGTTTTATAGTTCACCTTTCTCATTTCTTTCTTTTTTGTTATTGTTATCTTGTTTTGTTTTATTTTGAAGATAGGGTTTTTCTGTGTAGCCTTGGCTGTCCTGGAACTTGCTCTGTAGACCAGGCCAGTCTCAAACTCTGAGATCTGACTACTTCTTCTCCCTCCCAAGTGCTGGGGTTAGATGTACAGCACCCCCCCCCCCCAGCTTCTTTAAAAAAAAAAAATTTACTTTTTTTTATGTATATGGGTATTTTGTCTACATGCATATCTATACACTGTATGCATTTGTGGTGCCCAAGAAGAACAGAAGAAGGCATTGGATCCCCTGAGACTGTAGTTACAGACGGTTGTAAGCCAATATGTGGGTGCTTAAAATCAAACCAAGGTTCTCTGGAAGAGAAGCCAGCACTCTTAACCACTAAACTATCTCTCCAGCCTCATTTCTTTCTTTGAACACACACACATATCAGATTCCCTGGAGGTGGCATTATAGGCAGCTGTGAGTGGCCTGATGTGGGTGTGGAATTCAAACTCAGGTCCTGTAAATGAACAGTACTGAACTACAACACTATTTCAGAAGCAAGGGATAAATACCATCAATGTCAGATCTTTGTCATGTCGCTCATATTCTGCTAAATTAGCACTATCATATTTAGTACTCACGTCTAACCTAAGTTCCTTAAGAATGGGAAATGTGTGTGTGTGTGTGAAGTTATTTGCTTAAACATTTACATCACTTATTGTTTAAAGAACAGGTCCCGTATGTACTATCTTTATTGAATGGTATCTTATTAGTTTAATTTAGACTTCTTTAATTTTTAATTTCTGAGGCACTATCTTACAGGGTAGCCCTGGCTGCCTTTGAACATGTGCAATCCTTGAGGCAAACCTCTTATCTTTAACTTTTAGTCCTTGGTTTACAGGCATGAGCTACCACTCACGGCCAGAAAACTTAACGATGACCTGGCTTATCTTGAACTCAGATAGCCACCTCCTGCTGCCTCCTGAGGGCAACAATTAAAGACATGAATAATTATATATGTTTTTCACTTTTAACCAAACCTCAGACTAATGATAGTAATTAATAGAATTTCTATGTTTTTGAAAGTGTCCCATTAGTTAGTATTTTTCCAGCAAATACACTAAGGAAAGGTCTTAGATGTGGCTGTATCTGGAATTTGCAAGGGAGGGAACCACTCTTTGCCACTTATCATACAGTGACAGATAATGTGGTTGATATTATTTCAGGGTTTTGACTCCATCCCTTTTCTGCTACATTTAAAGAAGTGGAATTTTTATTTGTTTGTTTGTTTGCTTATTGGTTTGTTTGTTTTGCTGAAGGAAATCTCAGGGGAACTATTGGTTTTAATTTTGTTATATGTACTTAATTTATTTTTTACTTTCTGTACTATATAGTACAGACTAGCCTGGAACTCATAATGTACTTCCGACTGCCTTTGAATAGACCGTTAGGCTCACACTGGTCTCAAACTTAATATGTAGCCCAGACTAGTCTCAAACTTACTGTGATCCTTCTGCTTCAGCTTACAAAATGCTAGGAATGTGGGTATGAGCTGCCACACGAGCATGGCTTAGTCCATAGCTTTTCTGCATAGATATCCTCTGTAAGTAACCCCCTTTTCTCCCTAGGTGTCTTACGCTATGAACCCAGGAGCAGAACCCTCCACATGTCAGAATTATGCCTTTTGTTCACAGGCAGTAAACTAGCTGGCTGCTACCCTTGGTCTTAATAAGTTTCTTGCCAACTAGGAGGAAAAGTCAAGCTCAAATGAAGATCTTAAGGTTCAGTCTTAGGTACTGGGAACTTGTTTGTGGAGGAGGGAGCTTCTCTCTGAAAAACACCTAGGAATTGCACAGGGTGGCATTTGTCCCAGGTTTAGAATGGCAGGCAGAGAGGGAATCAGGCGAGATGCTGCTGTGGGAACTTAGCTGGCCTGAAGGCATGTTGAGTGGCAGACATCTCCTTGTACTGAGCCCACACTTGATCCCTGGCCTCTTACCCTTCTCCAATTGCTCAGAGGCTTCTGTGTTCCTTGTTGCAGGCTGTGGGCAGAATCCTACTCGACAAGCCAGTGTGGGTGCAGGGATCCCCTACTCAGTTCCAGCATGGAGCTGCCAGATGATCTATGGCTCCGGCCTGAAAGCCGTGTGCCTTGCAGCCCAGTCCATAGCCATAGGCGACTCCAGCATTGTGGTTGCCGGAGGCATGGAGAACATGAGCAAGGTAAGTGAGAGGCGCTGCTCACCATCCTGACCGCCCAGAGGACACACATGTCCTGCTGAGGTTGGGTGAGGAATGCTATTCCTGGGATGGGCACATGCCCCCTGCACCCAGGGGGAGGTCAGAGTAGAGTCTTACTGGGTAGAGTCTCTCTTTCTACAGGTGGGGATTGAACTCAGGTCATCAGACTTGCTGCAAGTGCCTGTACATACAAAACCATCTCACCAATGCCACCTCTTTTTCTTCTTGTTATTTATTTATTTATTTATTTATTTATTTATTTAGCTGTTCTTTTGTTTGTTGAGACAGGGTTTCTCTGTGTCACAGAGATCCACCTGCCCACGCTGGGATCACAGGTGTGCACCACGCTGACTGGCTTTACTTAGCTTTCAATACAGGACTTTTCTGTGTAGCTCTGGTTGTCCTGGAAATGTCTGTATCTCTGTAACTCTCAGATCTGCCTGTCTCTGTCTCCTGAGTGCTGGGATCAAAGCTATACACAACTATATACCCTACTTTCCCATCCCAAGTGTACACAGTATCTTTGACTGGCTGGAACTCCTTTTTTTTTTTTTTGTAGAGGTTAATCTAAATGTTTTTGAACAGAGTAGGACAGTGGGAATGTAAGCTCTGCTGTTTAGAACTTCTAGTTGATACTCAGAACTTCTAGAGAGAACGCCCACAGCTGAAAGGATTAGGGCAACGGAGCTCAAACAAATCAGGTAGGATTCTGCAAACTGGGAACATCCTGTTCCTACACGCAGCTCATTAGTCCAGGGTCCAGCTCATTCCTAGAAGTGTTCTTCTGACTTTTGACCTGGAGCCGGAGCTCAGAAGAGTCCACATTTGAATAATCCAGACTACTTCAGATCTCAGACCAGAGGGAAGCAAGAGACAGGCAAGCTTGGTTTTGACTTGCTTTTCCCCTGTGAGGAAGAATCAGGTCACAGGCTGCCACTTACCCCTCTGGTCAAAGCCCTTGGAGGGACCACAGGATCCAGGCTCTCTTAGAGGGCAGAACATGTAAAAGCTTCCTGTGGTGAGGCATGCCAGTCCCTGCTGCTCAGGAGCTGAGGTGGAGAAGCACGTGAGCGTGAAGCTGAAACCTACCTGGATCACATAGCAAGACCTTGTCTCAAAAAACAAAAGAAAGAACATAGCCAAGGGTCATGGAGAGCTGGCCTCTCGAGGAAGCTCACCATCCCTGTCTGTCTCAGCAAGTGCTGTCCTTCAAGCAGACACTGCAGTGCAATAGTATCTTCTTCCTGTGCTCAAGGTCTGACCTTGGAATTCACTGGTCAGAGACCTAGTGAGCTCAGCCACTGCAAAGCTCAGGAAGAGGCAGGCTGAAGGTCACAAGTGAATGGAGTCCTTCTGGTTGCACGTACTAACCTCCAGTCCTGCAAAGAGGGCTGCTATGTGTGGTCACACAAGCCAATATGGTGTCAGTGCTGACATGACAGGTGGGAATACTGATGTCCAGAGCCACCACTTAGATGCATGGCTTAATGTACACACAAAATTTAATTCTGTCATTTCCTTTTTGTTCTTTTTAAGTGTGTGTGTGTGTGTGTGTGTGTGTGTGTGTGTGTGTGTGTGTGTG